CGGGCCGTGCCCAGCGCCTGCCTTGCTCTCGGCGCTGCCATTAACTCCTCCCTTTAAACCACCTTTCGTTTCAGCTTCCCTGGGAAAACGTACGGGGCCAGCGCTGCCCGCTGCAGGACGCACGGACACACCTCACAAGCGATCGGATTTGTCCCATGAAGGCTCAGAAGCGTTTCACCAGACAGGCAGCAGACTCTCACAATCCATCTACTATCACAATACCCGCATCCACAGTGTCATTTTTACTGATGTTCTTAAACTACGGGGTACTTTTCACCTGTTTTTAAACCGTAAGAACTCAAGCAACAACTGATCAGCGCAACACGCTGACAAAAACCTGTAAGAGACGCCCTAGCCAAAGGCGTTTCAGCTGATTGAAATGTATTTTTAACTTTCTCAAGTTTTCCAGACATTCTAAATACATTATTGCATGAAAATTTCATTTATAAGCTCTCTCACTCAAGTCCCAGGCTGGACTTCTACTTCTCTTCTTCCTGCAAGGTTCCCTAATCAAATTATTGCTCAAAAAACCCCCTAAGAGCTATAAATTTATTTATCTATTTTCTTTCCCCCCTTTCTCTAAAAGTCAGCATTGTTGCACTTCCCTCAGTCTGGCCCTGGGAGCAGATGACTTGCAGTAAGAAGAGCAAACAAACCCGGGATGATGGACACCCGGTGGGGAAAACCCCCCGCTATGTTATCAACTGCTGGGTCGTAAGGAACCGGCAGCGACGGCCGTAGAGCGGCTCGCAGCCCCCTGCTCTGCTCACCCTCCTTCGCTCTCGCCGTCGTCCGTGTTGGCTGCTCCCGAGCTGGCTGTGAAATAAATCGAGCTGGAGCCCGTGGAATCGCTTCTTTCTCTCGGGAACGGGAACCGCCTCCGGCGAGTTACCTTCTGGGTTTCTTCCAGGTGGGACCTTCGAGGCGGCCAAAAGAGAAGCAAATAAACCTTTTATTAGCGAAACGTCTGCCCCTTCCCTCCTGCTCTCTAGCAGCTTCTGTCCAACTCGCTCCATCTCCGAGAGCCCACCAGGTGCCTGGCTCTTGCCTGCACAAACCTCCCGCTGCCACACACCAACCGTCCTCCTGCCCCGTTAAAGCGAGTCTGAGCCCAGAGGTGTGCACGCACCGGGGGGCGACGGCCCCGCACGCACCCCTCCCCTTCCCCCAGCCAACCAGGGATCCTCAGACCCCTGGCAGAACAGAGGCCTTTCCTTCTGTGCCAAAAGCAGTCGGGGAGAATGCGGCAGCAGCAAGAGGCAAACATTTACAGACCAAATCACAGGATGTCAGGGGTGGGAAGGGACCTCTGGAGATCATCTGGTCCAACCCCCCTGCCAGAGCAGGACCACCCGGAGCAGGTCACACAGCACTGCACCCACGTGGGCCTTGGATATCTCCAGGGAAGGAGACTCCACAGCCTCCCTGGGCAGCCTGCTCCAGGGCTCTGCCACCCTCACAGGGAAAGTTTTTCCTTATTTACCGTGGAACCTCCTGTGCTCCAGCTTGCACCCGTTGCCCCAAACAACCTTCCAGCCTCGACCATGAAGCAAGCGTCACGACTTGATACTCCACAAGAAAACACCAACCCTGGCCAAACACACCATTTGTTTCGCATTGCTCTCACCGGAGGCCGAGACCTCACCCCCCGTGGAAACCACAGACACCCTCTTTCTGCTTTTGGACTTTAAATTTAACCCACTGGGTCACGGCCGTTCCACCAGGCTATGGAGTAAACACGCGCGACCGTAGAAGACGGCAGAAAGGGGCACGTCGATACCTGACTTCCCCAACGATTTCTGCAGCCAAGCGCTGCAGGCTGCTCCGTAGCTCCTCCACTTCTTTTCTGAGCTCTGAAATGTTTCTCAACACGAAGTCAAGGCGCTCCAGCACATCCACGGGCTCGTCGTGCGTCAGGAGGGGTGTGTACATGGCACCATCCCCCACCTCGGCAGGAACCGGCGCTCCGGGCACGACTTGCAGACGACAAGAGGAGAAAAGGTTCATTAGATGCCAACGGGAAATCTGAGGATTTCCTTTTCAGAGGCCGGAGGGCCCGAGGCTTCCCTTCTCAGGTCCTGCTGCCTGGCCTGGCCCGAGGCTGTTGGTTCTTCGGCTGCCTTACTGCTCCCTCCCTCCCTCCCTCTGCACTTCTGTATGAACATCTTGCTGAAAGCTCTGATTTTCTCCCGAATCGCAATCAAGTCAGGAGGCCATCAGCCGGGAAAGCAACCAGCTCCCAGGAGAACACGTGGCAATGAACAAGGGCGACGGAAGCTAATTTGGACCAAAAAAGACCTATTCTTTAAAAAAAAAAACAAAACCACCAAAAACCTCTATTCTCCTTCAGGGGAAAAAACCCCACAGAAACCCAAAGAGGAGGCAGCAGCCTTGAAACAGCACTCGAGTCACTGCCGTGTCGTTGCCTTCCACCGAGTGTCTAGAACCGTCACCAGTCCGACCATTGAGCTTTCCTGTAGACACAGCGGCATCGACCAGCATTAAGAACAGATTTACACCCGTGGATTTTAAACATATTTTCTTGAAAGCTCATAAATATGATAAATAAATATACTACCAGTTAAGTAATTAAGAAGGAACACTCTTTTTATATTAACAAGTGAAAAAAGACAATCACTCTCAAAAAAGCAGCCAGATTCGCAGAAACAAAGGGCTTATCTTCCAGGCTACCCCCAAACTCAGAGATAAAAATGTAAATTCTCCAAAGTGAAGCAGCACCATGACCTTTCCCCTACTCTTCTTTTGCTCCTCCGAAACCACGCCGTTTGCCTTGCTATCTTCCCAAGAAGGGGCTGGACAGGACCCCAATGTGGCGTTTCCAAGCCCCTGCCCCGCTCCAGCAGCGTTTGTCGCTGTTCCCGTTGTCCCACCGGCAGCGGACGATACTCCCGTCCTCCCTGCTTCTGCTCAGGACCTGCTGCTCCAGGGCAGAGACCCGCAACACTGGTGAAACTGGAGGAACCAATTCCTTCTAAGCCAGACGGCCGGCAACCAGGGGCAGCCGTTTACTGCCGCGATAGTTACCAGCTGCCAGAGCCGCTCTCCCATTCCTGCCGTGGTGCTTGGGCTGTACACGCGGGGAAACACCGAGGCACAGGGAGCTAAAGCTGGTGCTGCAACACCGCGGGTTAAAATACCGTTCCCAAACTACTCCCGCCCCAGCACAGGAGTGGAGAAGCCTTTGGATACCCCCGTAAAGATGCTGCAGTTCCTCCTTACATGCAATTTTATTTTTCTTCCTATTTCATGACCGTACGTCGTACTAACGGGCGACACCGGCGCTGGCCTGCTCAGCCCTGTGCCACCCGCCTCGCTGTGAGACCCGAGCGTGGGGCCACTGCCCGCAGACGCTGGGCACAGACTCGGGGACAGAAAAGCAGCCTCGGGTTTCCCAAATCGGCCTTTTTAAAAGCTCAAAACTTGAACCCGCCAGAGCTCGGCGCCGAGCGGGTGAATCGGAACCGCCCCGGCAAAGGCCCCACGGCGGCTCCGCAGCTGAAGGCGGCCTTGGGGGTTAAAGGAACACG